CGAGGACCTCAACGCCGCCGCCATCAAGGCCTGGACCACCAGTAGCACTACCGGCGGCGAGGCCCTGCTCGAGGAGCGCGTGCAGGCGCTGGACGCGGTGCTGTGCGGCCTCTGGGCCATGGGCGAGCCGGGCGGCAGGTACGCGCGCGTGGTGCGCCGGTTCGAGAGGTGGGCCGACGCGCTGCGCGCCGTGGTCGAGCGCCGCGACGACGAGGGGGGGCTCGTGGCTGGCGGCGGTGGTGGCGACGACGTCGCCTTCGTCGAGGTTCTCGACCCGGCCTGGCGCGACGAGTGCGCCGCGCTGGCCCGCAAGCTGGGCGGCTGGCGCAGGCAGCTCGTGGGCCTCGCCGTCCGCGGCGGCGACGGACAGGCGGCGACGTCAAGCCTGGCCGTCGTCCTGGCCGCGTGCCGCGAGCTGGTCCACGACATGCTTGCCGAGCTCGATGTCATGGAACGCATCGAGCGCGAGGCGCTGAGGCAGGAGACCGAGTGGATCGAGCACATGAGCCGGGACGACGGCAGTGATGATACCCTGAAGGCCGGAGCGATATGGAGGGTTTTGTGATTTGGGTCTCGCCTTTTCTCTCCTCTTTCTGCATTCTTGGAGCAATGAGCCTCTTATTTTTTTTATTCCGCCATTTGCGCCTGTTTTCATTTCTTCGAGCTCCACGTTGCTGAGATCATGCTTGGCATGAGCTCACATACGAACATTTTTCATGCACTGATCACCTCTATTACACGATTTCACTCCCTCTCTTCCTCTTCTTCAGGTCAGTGGGCTTATTTCAAGACTGACTTGTAAATATTGACCCAGATTGCCACTATCAATCTTTAGGGGCTATGTACTCATGAAGGCTATACGATATGTGAAAACGAAAACCAACTGAACCCCAAGAAAAGCAGCACATACCATCCCTCCAAAAACGCCAGGAATCCGAGCCAAATCGCACTCATGCCCCCAATCCTCTACCATCCGATGCAGGTCAGGCAGCCCACAGGGTGCACCATCGATTTGACCGGCGGGCGGCGCAAGGGCGAACGCAGTTATCGATTGGAACCCAGAGGCCATGCCATGCTCTGGATCCATGAGCCTGAGCCTGGTCCTGAGGCTGCCTGGGCTGCGGCCGCTTGGTTCTGCTGCAGCGTCTTCATCGCCTCAGCCCTCTCCGCCTCCCTCTGATGCTTGACCACCTCTCTCAGATGTTGCAGTACCTCTTGGGCCATCAGGTCTCTTGCGGGCCTTTATGCTCTATCCGTTAGCGATGTGAGACTTGAGTATCTCCGGGGGACACGTCGGGATACGCACTTTCTTCCGTAGATATTGTTCACGACCCCGACGGACGGTGGAACGCGGAACTCTTTGCCCCAGTTCACCGTGCCGTTGAAGAGATTCGTCGAGCTCTCGACAGGGGTCACCTCGTATCTCGGCATGCCGTACCCGAAGGCGCGGCACAACTTTTCGGCCTGGGCGACTACGTTATCGTCGTCGGAATGGCCGTCGGCCGGCTTGTTTCCGCCGCTGGAGCTGCGGTCCCTGCTGCCCATCGGCTTTGGCGTCTGTGGGGGTTTTGCCGCAGCGGCTGGCGGGGACGTCGGGCCCGGCCTCGGAGGCGAGGCCACGCCGGCACCAGTGACAGAGGAAGGCATTGGGGGGCACTGCCTCGGCCTCTTGAAGGTGACGTTGATACCGTCGTCAGGCATGAGCTGGTTGGACATCAACCAGTCTATGGCCTTGAGGGCAGCGTATTGTTTCGCGCTACATGTTGAGCCGCAAGTCAGAAGCAAGCAAGCGAGAGCGTATTTGTGGTCGAGCTCGGGGATTTCCAAGTAGTAAACGAGGGCTGGCGCGTGGCGCGTCAAAAAAAAAAGACTAGGGAATGTTTGGGAACCGACGTACTCTTTCTTCCTGCTGAATGGAATCCCAACCTCCGGGAAGAGAAGCTCTCCCGCCTCGGACAGCTTGGTGAAGGTGCACCACTTCAGGCCACGGGACTCGTCCTTGTAGGTGATGTAGCTGCCATCAACGTGCGCGTCGCGATATCCTGCAGGCGTTGGGTTAGCATCACCAGTGAGAGATGGTAATCCCATTGGGGAGAGACGGAGCTTACGCCCAAGCAGGCTGACCCAATCCTTGCCTCCAAGGCTGGGCTCCTCCAGCGACACCGTGGTGGACAACATCTCAAGGGCATGTGAGGTCGCTCGGTTGAGCTCGGTGAAAACACGTAGCTGCGCGGGCGTCAATTGCTCTGGCTGCATAAGGTTCAGCTGCTGGGACTCCTGCAAGGCGATTAATTTCTTCAGGCTTGCCCAGTCGATCACTCCTTGGTCACCCGCGACCTGCGTAAAAGGCGAGGCCATTGTGGGCGGGCAGGCAGGCGGCTGTTGGGAGCGGCTGTTGGGAGCGGCGTTTATGGTGTTTGGAAAGCGAGCAAGGCCGGAGCGAGCGCCAGAGGGCGGAGGCATACGCTGGAGTTGGGCAGCACGAGAGTCTGAAATGAGAAATGAGCCACAAGATGGTGCAGCCTCTTTGGTAGGCTCAAGTTGCTTAGGTCGCGTGCACGGAAGGGAGCCTGCACTGTTCTCTGCTTGAGCAATGGAGCGGGCTGAGCAGCTCAAGGCGGCACCCCGCAGTGTCGTTCACTTGTTGAGCTGCGTGGGTGGGGAGCGTGGAAGCCAGCTCTCGAGGACCAGACATGGGATGAACTGCGGCGGCATATGGAATAAATCGACCCAAAAAAGGGGGCCCGGAGAGTAAACCATGAATCTGGCAGCCGTCCGGATTAGCGGTTGGTTGCCTATCTGCTGCCTTGGGATGGTGTGGTGTGATCACGGCTGCCCAACGCTGGCGGTTACACGCAAGCGGGATCCCGGTCGAGACATTGGCTAACCGCCGCCAGATTTTACCACGCGGTCGTCTGCGAGGGACGTTGGTTTCATCCGATGAATTCATGTGTAACCAGCCACTTTGGCGGCCTCATCTCACGGGCACGCCAACAACAGAAACCATCGAGGACGTCAGGGCCAGGCTCTCACCCACCATCTTGAACAGAACCATGTGATCCATGAGAACAACAGGGTTCTCCTCAAGCCTCAAAATTCGAATGCGCCGTAAAAAAAACAAACAGAAAACCATAGGGGTATAGATTTATAAAACACAGCTCCTGAGTTTCATGCGTCCCATCAGTTGACAGGGTGTGGCTTCACGCCATCTCGAAGAATCCTCCATCGCTCTCGCTGCCACTCTCATAATCGTCAGGCTGGGCTTTGGGCAGTTCCTTGGCCTTCTTCTTTCCCTTGCCGCCCCCTACGTCCTCCTTCTTAGTCTTTAATGGTTCGGGCTTGCTCTCTCCCGATGCCGCCTCGGCTGGGACCTTGTGCTTCCTGCCCTTGGGATCGCCCCCTGACTCGGGACGTCGGTTTTGTAACCTGATGAGCGCACGCTCTCCCTGCTCCATTGTCTCCTCCACTGTTGCCCACATCGGCGGACGTTCTGCGTGCAGAGCTAGCTGCGCCGCGGGCGCATCGCCTGTCTCCTTGGAAGCTTTGGTAGCGGAGGGGTATAGGCTGATATACTGCTCCAGGAAAGGGAAATATATGGCGTAGTTGACGTCCACCTGCGCAATATGCAGATCCTTCTGTAGCTTGGCTATCTCGTCCGGGTCCTTGGCCTCGTCGAGTTCCTTCTGGATCTTCTTCACCAGTCTTTGTGCCTTTTTGCGTTCTACTCGAGCGACCAGAAGCAGCCAGTCAGCGCTCTGAAAATGCGGAAGCGTGGTGACGGATGAAGGGCATGCCCAATCGTTCTTACCAAAGAAGCGCACCATATGGTATTTGCCAATCATATTGCTCCTCAGCTTTTTGTCCCGAGCCTCCTGGATCCGTTGTTTCAGCGCCACCAGCTCGCGCTCGAGGTCATTCTGCACGTTTGCGGGCATCGGCCTCTCGTCTCCAGGCTGTTTCTGAAGGCGTCGCTGTATCGTGCGCGCCCGCGTCTTCATGGCGTTGACGGAAGCATCCTCGGCCCCGGGGTTCCTCCTGCCCTGCTTTGGCTTCTTTTTTGAGGGGCCATGCTTGTGATAGCTGCCGCCCTGGCCGTCGACAGACGAGTATGGGCGTTTCGTCCCCATTTCCGTTCGTGCGCGTGTGGTTCGATGTAATGGGAAGTCGCGCGGCTGCGAATTTGTGCTTGTTCGGCCGAGGGGAGCTTGTCAGGCAATCCAAGTTGAAATCGAAATCAAATGCTGGTTCGCATTCAAGATCAAGGGAAACAGACGGCGCTATCGCGATGCCCCAAAATTTCCATCGCGGCCGACGCTGCCCGCAGACTGAGGCCCCACCAGGAACCTTTTTCTGGGGATGGTCCCAGGCAGTTGAGTTATCTTATCGGGCACGTGATGGTACAGCATCCATGATAGGAACCCCGCCGCGTCAAGGCATGGGTACCCCTTGAATCGCGTGCACCACGAACAAAGCGCAACTCGTCTCGTTCATTGAAGGGCAGGTGCAGCATCGCAGGATCAAACTTTGGAGCTAAATCAAGGCAACGTGCAGGTCGACTTCAAATGTTATAATGGCTAAGACGTGATGTATGTATTATACTCTTTTTCTTCTCTCCAAGCCCTCCGAGTCTGAGTTCTCTCCCGGTCTGGCACGTGTCGAGTCTGCCCTGACCAGAAACCTTCGCAGTCCTCGATTACGCTACGCTGCATGTTCAAGAGACATGATGTGATGGCCCCAGCTCGAGAAAACTGCTTGCTGCGCTCTTGCCATTGAGCCCGTGAGCTCCTTTTCCGCACACTAGGTCATAATCTATTTGTCCATCCTTGAGCTCGAGCTTAGGTTGTTCCAGACACAAGGCTGTGTCTGACGGACGTGCCATTTGCTCTCTCATCCAGAATAAGGGGCCTCCATCATGGATCGTCCGGAGCCAGGGCTGATCAAATGGTCGCCCAACGCCAAGTTCGACTCGTTCCTCCACATCAACCTACAGCATCGGGTCGTGCAGGTTTACGAGCCCGAAGGCCACGCCAAGAACGGCAGCTTTCAGTACAAGAAGCTATCACAGCACGATGACTTCCCGCCTCTTACCACCTACGACTGGTCGCCGTCGATGCCCGGCCTCTTGGCCGTCGGCACGCAGGCTGGTATCGTCAACCTGTTGCGCATCGATGACAACTCCAACGCCTATCTGGAGCTCAACCTCAAGATGGCCCGGACCTGCCAGGCCGTCGCCTTCAGCACCCAGGGTATGCTCGCGGTTGGCCTTGATAGAGTCAGGAGCGACCAGTGCCTCTATGTCTGGGACGTGAACCGGCTCTCTGAGATGAACTCGGACTCTGCGAGCAAGGGGTTCCCGTCGGGGATCGACCCCTTTATTGAGCCCGCCGTCCGTCGCGAGCCTAGTCTGTCCGTCTCGAGCGTCAAGTTCTTTGAGGACAACCCCAACACACTGGTTGTGGGTATTAAAACATCGGGATTGCGCATCCACGATATACGCGGTATGTTTTGACATCGTTGCTACTCGAGCTCTCTGAGCCTACACAGCTTCCGTCCTGCCGCGGTAGACGGCACTTTGTGCTCGCGCTGACAACCGTGTCGACTTCCTCCTCAGCTGGCCACAACCCCGTTTCGCGATACGAGACGAAATGCAACAATAATCTTGCTATCGACTATTCCGACCAGAACTATTTTGCTTCCTCTGCCCTAGATCAGCCAGGTATCATGATATGGGACCGTCGAGCCACTGACCTGTTCCAAGTATCACCATCGTACCTCAACGCCCATCAGGATGGACTCCCGTTTGGCGGCGCCCTGTGGCTCGAAAACGCTCTCGAGCTTGAGTCCAGCCAGTCCATGAGTGACAGCAAAAACTCATTCATCAGGTCCCTGCGTTACTGCCGGGACCATCGGGGGTTGCTAGCGGTCCTTTCGCGGACTGGCCAGCTCAAGGTGCTGACAACCACAGCAGAGCCGACCGAGGAGGTAGTCGAAGAAAGCCCAGAGCTGCTGCTTGTGAGGAGGTCTCATGAGATGGGCAACTACTATTCCGACCCGGCGAAGAAAAATGACCGGATCGTTTCATTCGATTGGGTGACGATGGGCAACCCTGTTCAGCGCCCGAGACTGCTCGTGCTTCGGGCCAACGGCGCCTTTGAGATCTTGGAGGTGCCATCTTTTGCAAGGACGTACCCATACAAACTTTCCCCCTGGAAAGCACCTCATAGAGGTCTCGAGTGTGAGTAACGCAGATCATGCAGATTACATCATGTATTAGGTGGCAGAAACATACTCATCTGCGCAAACCGCTCTAGCCGGAGGAAACCACCACGACATTATCGGATTTGAGCCGCATCAGGCAACTCAAATTCTCGCCCCAGCCATCTCCGAGGATGAGCTTGCCGACATCCCGATATTTGGCGGAAAGAAGCCCGATGTCCTAGGCATCGTACAGGGCTCCCTCCAGACCCGTATTCCATCCACCGACCTGTTGCAAGATCTGGCGGCCAAGGACTCCCCTCAGCTCCCGGAGTCGTTCAAGAACGCAGTATCCGTGGCGGAAAAGATGCGCATTCTGAGGCAGTACGCTAAAGAGCACTTACGGGACGCCCCTCAAACGGCCTCTTCACGGACAGACAGTGCCACCCAGGCAATGTCCTCGCTAGCTGTCTCACAAGGCCGACTGATCACCAACCGTGAACGACACGAGGAACTACTCTCGCTCGCCATGGGCACGATGGGATTCCCAAAGGAGGCACAGATCTTCCTAAACCATGTCCCGCTTCTAAGAGCGAAGGAAATGTATCTGTTCGACTACGAGAAAAATAGGAGCATTGTTGCAGACGACCCCTGGCTACGGGACGTGTGGATTTGGATCTTGGGTAAGATTCCCCCTTTTGTCTTCAATCACGTCGACAGTGTGTCTCCGTCTGTTTGTCTGCCACTAACGTAGAGTATAGGCGCCGAGGAGGCGGTCGCTGACGGAGGAATGATCTCGCACCCCCTTGATCTGAGTTACATGGGAGTTGCCACAGTGTGGCTCAATAATTTGGGTAAGTCGACCTTAATGCATAATGCCACTCGTTGTACTTGGGATCCAAGCTTCTAACACGAACGACGCCAGGTAAAACCCCCTCGACCAGGCTGGCTGATGGTAGCACAGTGACTCCCGATACCTCGGCGTGGGAACGTTCTATCAACGCCATGTGTAGGAAGCGCGGAATTTCGAGATTCGAAGGAGTCGAGACAAAGTGGCCTCACCACCGAGAGCTGTGCTTAGACATTTGTGGCTGGGGTCGGGCTGCGCCGATGGATCTGCTCGAATTTGAGCAGACACCTTCATTGGAGAAGACTTCGACGTGGCATACCATGAGCACTGCGCATGCCCTCTTCTCGGGCGACACTAAGCGCGCAGTCGAGATACTGCGGAAGGCAAGCTCGGAACACCCGGAGCTCCTGTTCGTGTCGCTTGCTCTCCAGCTTATAGGGCGGGGAGACGCCACTCTGGCCAAGGAGCAGCTGGACTTTGACGAGAAGGTGGCCTCGCGGACGGACCCTTACCTCAGAGCCATATCGTCCCTCATCGCGACTGGCGACTGGACCACCATCACCAACCAGAGGTCGCTGCCCCTCAGAGAGAGGGCTTTTGTTGCGGTCCGGCATCTGACGGACGACCAACTGACAGAGTGGCTCCGAAAGGAGGTTGCCATTGCCATAGAACACGGCGACATCGAAGGTATCGTGCTGACCGGGATCACGGACAACATGGTAGACATATTGGCGAAGTATGTCGAACGGTTCCACGACTTGCAGGCGGCCACCCTCATCATGTCCATCTGCGCCCCCCGGTACATCGACGACTTCCGATGCGCAGCGTGGCGCAAGTCATACCGCGCCTACCTTCAGCGGCATCGAGCGTTCCTCCAGCGGACCAAGTTCGAGGTGGAGAGCACCAAGAAGAGTAAGCGGGATGGCCTCCCGACCATCAAGCCGCCATTCCGGCAGATTGCGCTACGGTGCATATACTGCGACGCTGAGACCTCGCTGTCCAGGGGGCCCTCGGCGGGCGGTATGCTGCACGGCCCTTCAGCCCTGTCGGCATCGACCACCGTCGGAGGGGGCGGCATCATCATGGGCCCTGCACCGCCGCCGCCACCACCGCCGCCCCCGTCGTCGTCTGGCGCGGGCGAGTCGAACCCGCTGATGGCCAAGCTGGCGGACGCGGGCATCAGCTGTCCGACGTGCAAGCGGCACCTGCCGCGATGCGTGGTGTGTCTGGAGGTGGTGGGCATGCCGCGCTCGGACCGGCCTGAGCTGGCGGCTGATCCCCAAGTGCAGCTCGCGGCGCGATTCCCGACCTTTTGCCTAAAGTGCGAGCACGTCCTGCATCTGGACCACGCGAGACAGTGGTTCGCAAGACATGCCGAGTGTCCCGTCCCAGAGTGTCGATGCAGGTGTAATTTTAGAGCCAACCCGGAGCTCAACTACAAGTGAAGAGGTCGGGGTCGGGGATAGGTGGTAGAAAGCTAGATGATCCGACTGGGGATTATAAGGATGCAAGAGGAGCGACCTGTTCAGTGTTTGTGTTATAGCAGTGTCGGATCACACCTTTGTCGGGCGTTGTTCTATATCAGGTACCTACATACGTAGCTGCTAGGTGTCGAAATCATGAATGAACTGTAGGTCGTACCCTTGGTTTAGCCTACCAGACGCCCAAATAGATACCGTCGTCGCCTTCACCAACCGACACCGCTGTCAATTACACGTCCGGGTTAGGGTTAGAGGCTAGGCAACATTCAGAGTGGGTCCTGTCAATTAAAGTCGCGTCCCCCAGCCAGCCCGGTCCAGCTTGACAAACGCGACCAGGCGGCTTAGTCTGCGATTTTCACGCCGCCCAGGACCAGACCGAGCCACCACCTCTATCTTCGTCTGACGCAATCCTGACGGCGCGCGACTAGAATTACGCATCAGCTAGCGGTCGCATCGATAGCAGCTGTATCGACGGCACACATCCTCAGCCATGTCGGTCTTCGAGAGCTTCGATAACATCTACTTGGACCTGTCCAAAGAGAGCGGAAAGTGCAGGTTCGCCGAGCATGGCCTAGGATGGAAGCCCTCGGGCGGCGGCGATGCCTTCACCCTCGACTCTAGCAATATCGGCGGCGCCAACTGGAGCCGAGCCGCCAAGGGCTACCAGGTCAAGATTATGCAGCGCAATTCGGGAGTTATCCAGCTGGATGGTTTCCAGCAAGAGGTTAGCATCTCTCTCGGGCCGACCTCTTTCGTGAAACCAGGGACGCGCGCATATCCTAACTTTTATCTCTTCGGATGCGAAACAGGACTACGAACGACTTACCAGGGTTTTCAAAAACTGGTACAGCCACAACCTCGAGAACAAGGAGCACTCGCTCCGTGGCTGGAACTGGGGCAAGGCCGAGTTCGGCAAGGCAGAGCTCACCTTCAACGTGCAGAACCGGCCGTCGTTCGAGGTCCCGTACTCGGAGATATCGAACACGAACCTGGCTGGCCGCAATGAAATCGCTGTCGAGTTCGCGGTGAACGAGGATAGCGGCAAGGGCAAGGGCCAAAAGGCCACCGCCGGCAAGGACCAGCTCACCGAGATCAGGTTCTACATTCCCGGCACCACCACCAGGAAGGAGGCCGAGGGCGAGGACGCGGCCAGCGACGCCGATGAGGAGGAGAAGAACGCCGTCACCATCTTTTATGATACCCTCATCGAGAAGGCGGAGATTGGCGAGACGGCCGGTGACACGATTGCGACGTTCCTCGATGTCCTGCATCTTACTCCCAGAGGTCGGTTCGACATCGACATGTACGATGGCTCGTTCCGCCTCCGCGGAAAGACGTACGACTACAAGCTGCAGTACGATGCGATCAGGAAGTTTATGGTGCTCCCCAAGCCGGACGAGATGCATTTCCTGATCTGCATCGGACTGGACCCGCCTCTACGCCAGGGTCAGACGAGGTACCCTTTCATCGTCATGCAGTTCAAGCGGGACGAGGAGGTTACGCTTGACCTGAACCTGACCGAGGAAGAGCTCAACGTCAAGTACAAGGACAAGCTCCAGGGCCACTACGAGCAACCCCTGCACCAAGTTGTCACCTACATCTTCCGGGGACTTGCAAACAAGAAGATTACCGCGCCCGCAAAGGGTTTCCAGACGTGAGTTGCCCCCGGCTACAAGCCAAGAATCCACGACTATGTGCCGTATTCCAATTACTAACAGGTGCTCATACACGGACACAGACACCGCGGACAGACGGGCATCAAGTGCTCAATCAAGGCCAGCGAGGGTTTCCTGTATTGTCTGGAGAAGGCTTTCATGTTCGTGCCGAAGCCGGCGACGTACATCTCGTACGAGCAGGTGGGATCGGTCACGTTCTCGCGTATTGGAGGTGCCGTCTCGGCGACGCAGACCTTCGACATTACGATCCATATGAGGACCGGAACGTCGTCGCAGTTTAGCAACATCAACCGGGAGGACCTCAAGGCGCTCGAGTCCTTCTTCCAGGCCAAGGAGCTGCGCGTCAAGAACGAGCTCGACGAAGACGCAAACCTGATGGCAGCAGCCATGCGCCAACAGGCCATGGATTCGTCCGATGACGAGGTTGGGCCCCGCGCGGACCGTGGCTCGGCCGACGAGGACGAGGAGAGCGTGGACGAGGACTTCCAGGCCGACTCGGAGAGCGAAGTCGCCGAGGAGTTCGACTCGGACCACGAGAGCTCGGGCTCGGGCAGTGACGAGAGTGATGTGGACAACCGGGTCGCAAACGAAGGAGGCGATGGCGATGAAGATGACGAAGAAGAGAATGAGGAAAAGCCGCCCAAGAAAAAGAAGAAGACGGCGGCGGCGTAAGAAGTTGCCGCATCGTGCATCACATCCTTGGTTTACCACTTGTCGGCCTGTTTGTTATAGTAACAAAAGATACTGGTCGGGATCACGGCCTAGGAACTGGAGAGGCGTTTTGGGGGACGACTTATTTGAATGGCCAATACATGACTTTTTACCCGTCTGGACAGTCTAGAGTAAAATATGAAATTATCCAACAGGCATCTGGGCCTACAACCTACTCTAGGCAGATTAGAGTACCTGTGCTCAGCTACCTAGGAAGGTACCTACCTGCCTGTATATTTGGCGAGATACCAAATATATGCATTCCCAGGCCCAGTATCCGGGATGATGGAAAGCTCAGGTCGGATGTCGCTTCAAATCGAGGCAGAACGCATTTCCCACGAAACTGGTGGTGGAAAAAGGGGGGCTCAGATCGACTGCCTGTGCCTGCATCATAATAACCCAGCCCAATAACGGGCCAGCTCACGCGCTCTTTTTTTTTTGACCGCCGAGTCGGAGCTTGGAAGGCTGCGGAGCGTAGCCCCACCACGCAGCGCGGGTCGCAGGGCGGGCAGAGCCAGACTGGAACGACAAAACAGACATCAATTTGGGCGTAGGGCATCAAGGTTGTCCCCCAAAAGCTTTCCCGTGCTCGCCGTCACGCCCGCCTCAGATTTTATCCGCACCTTGCCGCAATATCCAGCAGGGCCGATTTTTTTTGTGGGCAAAGATCTGGACAGCCTCCCTTTTGCTCCTGCGACCCCCCCAACCCAACTTCCAACCCGGCTGCCCGAACCAGAAAGCACACCGCGGGGATCGAGTCTAGGTAGCCTCAGCCTCTCTGCTGCCGAGACAGCCTGGACTAGTCGCGCGCGCATCGGTTGGTGCCGTGCCAGCCCAACCATCGACACAAACAACAGACACCGACCTTTGATTCCACGCCCAGCTGCCCGGCATGAGTGCTCGGTAGCTTCACCCGCGGCTCACCAACTATGCTGCCTGCACTGGTAAAGGGCTGCCGTTCAACCGCAGCTGACTAACGACGCCGGGAGGATACACTATCTTGCCCATTCTTTTTCTTTGTTTTTTTTTTTGTTTTTTTTTGTTTTTTGCCATCTTCCAACTTCTTTCTCCTTTATTTTTTCTCCACTTGCTGTAGCCCTCGAGCGGCGCATAGAAGATGGACGCGCAGGTAAGAGAGCCCATGCCCGCCCGAGTAAAGTGGTCAGCCAGATTTGTGGTCGCCGCCCGCCCCGCGATGTGGCTCAATGACTGCGGGGGAACACCACCCCCATCCGAACTGGGACAAGGCCCAAGTGCGCAGAACCACCACCAGCGGGCAGTTGCTGCCTGCCATACACATGCACACACTCGCGCCACACACCTAATAATCCCGGCACCCATACACAAAATCTTGGGCATGGCACTGACGTTGTTCCCTTGGGTCGCGTGCCCTTCCCCCGCGCACCGCTCCCTTAGATCGAGAACGCGATCCGTGTGGCCTGGGACCCCCAGGCTGAAGCCTCATTAAAGGCTCAGGCCTTCGAGTTCCTCACCCAACTCAGGAGCGACCCGCAGGCCTGGCAGGTGTGCATCACGCTGTTCACTCGATGGCCCCGCGCCTCTGATGTCGTTCGCCTCGTCTCGCTCGAGATCGTCAACCAGGCTGTCCAGACGGGCGCTCTCGACTCCCAGAGCCTACTGTTTTTAAAAGATACCCTGTTCGGCTATGCTAGGCGCTCCTACGGCCCCGGTGCCCAGGAGACCGCCGACCCTCCCCATCTTCAGAACAAGCTCGCCCAGACCCTGACGTACCTTTTCGCACACCTCTACAATGGCGGCTGGGAGGCCTTCCTTGGCGATTTCCTCAGCCTTACCGCCTCGGACGCCGCCAATCCCCGCCAGAGGGATAACGTTCTGGGCGTGGTCCTCTACCTGCGCATCCTTGGCTCAGTCCACGACGAGATTGCCGATACCATCCTAGCCCGCCAGTCCAGCGAGGCTAAGCGCAACACCAGCCTCAAGGATGCCATCCGTGAGCGAGACATGCGCGCCGTTGTCGAGTCCTGGAAGGACCTGCTTGCCCAATACACCGGCCGCGACGACTCCATCGTTGAGCTCACCATGAAAGTCCTGGGGAAGTGGGTCAGCTGGATCGACATCTCGCTCGTCATCACCCAGGACATGTTGAACCTGATCTTCCCACTGATCGGCCGCCCGACGTCTGGTACCGACCCCATCCGGGACGCCGCCATCGAGTCCTTCAACGAGATTGTCGGCAAGAAGATGAAGCCTGTTGACAAGACGGAGCTGATCAGCTTCCTCAACCTGCGCCAGATTGTCGCCGAATTGGTCGCCAGCCCGCCACTTAACGAGTTCCGTCATACCCCCCGGTACGACACGGACCTCGCCGAGGCCGTGGCCAAGCTGGTCAACACGGCCGTCACCGACATTGTGCGCGTCCTTGAGGATGTCTCTGTGCCCAACGATTCCCGTGCAAAGGCCGAGCAGCACCTACAGGACTTTCTCCCCCTCCTTCTCCGTTTCTTCGCCGATGAATTCGACGAGGTCTGCTCGACCGTGATAGCCTCCCTGACCGACATCTTGACATTCCTGCGAAAGGTTGGGAATTTGCCCGATACGTATCGATCTATGCTCAGCCCTATCTTGGATGCCATAGTCACCAAAATGCGCTTCGACGAGACCTCGCGGTGGTTCGAAACCGAGGAGGGAGAGGAGGAGGCAGAGTTTATGGATCTGCGCAAACGGCTGCAGAATCTCCAGAAGAGCGTGGCTGCGGTTGATGAGAACCTCTTCGTTGAGGTCATTAGCAACCTCGTGGCCGCGACTCTGCAAAACCTGAACGAGCGCGGTGCGCAGATGGACTGGCGGGACATCGACCTGGCCCTTTATGAGCTGCTGCTGTTCGGCGAGATCGCTCAGCCCGGCCAAGGCGTGACCCCAAAGAGCCAGGGTTCCAGTGCGGCGGCAGAGAGGTTAGAAGCCATCATGCGCAAACTGGTTGAGTCGGGTAAGAGGCCCCCTGGCTGCATTTGATTCTTGCTGCTTTGATGAATGTCGTGCATCTACGCGAGGCCTCGACCTCGCCCAAGCAGTCTGCTGACCCTTTTTTTCATGTCAGGTGTCGCCGAGTATTCCCACCCGGGCATTCTCCTTCAGTACCTGGAGATATGTGTACGGTACTGCCAATTCTTTGAGCACAATCAGTCATATATCCCTCGCGTGCTGGAGAACTTTGTCCGGCTAGTGCACCACAACCACCCGAGACTGCGGGTGCGATCGTGGTACTTGTTCCACCGGTTCGTCAAGCAGCTTCGTGCGCAGGTCGGCAACGTGGCCGAGACCATCATTCAGTCCATTGCAGACCTTCTACCAATCAAGGCTGAGATTCCCGACGACGATGGCGATCAGGACGACATGTCCTCGGACGAGACGGACAACTCGGCCGATGCCGTCTTCAACAGCCAATTGTACCTCTTCGAGGCTATTGGCTACATCTCCTCCACCCAGGCCACGCCTGTTGAGAAGCAAGCCTTGTACGCGCGCTCGGTCATGGACCCCCTCTTTTCCAGCATGGAGAGCCACCTTTCCAAGGCCAAATCGGGCGACACCCAGGCCGTGCTGCAGATTCACCACGTCATCATGGCGCTGGGCACTCTGGCCTACGGCTTTTCAGACAACAGGGGGCAGGGCAACCAGAGGCAGGCCCCTGACAAGCTGGTGTCGGACGAGTTTTCCAGGGCGGCTGAAGCCATTCTGATCGCGCTCGGAGAGCTCAACTCGACTAGAGAGATCCGGGTCGCATGTCGCTTCGCCTTCTCGCGCATGTTGAATGTGCTTGGATCCGCGGTTCTGCCGCAGCTTCCCAGATGGATCGAGGGTCTTTTGTCCCAAAGCTCTACCAAGGATGAAACCGCCATGTTTCTCCGGCTCCTGGACCAGATTGTCCACAGTTTCAAAGCAGAGATCTACAGCGTGCTCGATCTCTTACTCACTCCTCTCCTCCAGCGCGTGTTTGCCGCCCTGAACGAGCCTGTCACGGGCATGGACGACGAAGTCCAGTTGGGCGAGCTGCGGAGGGAATATCTCAGCTTCCTGCTGGTCATTCTTGATAACGACCTGGGGAATGTTCTGGTCAGCGAAGCCAACCAGGGTTTCTTCGAACAGCTCATCTCCTCTGTCATCACCCTAGCGAAGACGACGGCGGGCAACAATAACATGATGACCAGTCGGCTGGCCTTCTCTGCGCTCACCCGCGTCGTGAACACTTGGGGAGGGCCAGACGTTGCGAATATTGCGGCAAACCCCTCGGCACCTACAGGCGCCGCCTCGCCAGCAATTCCCGGACTCGACCAGTTCATGATTGATCGTTTCCACCCGGTTTGCTGGGAGGTCATCAAGGACCCGCACTTCAACCCGGGCAAGGATGCACAGACGAAGCAGGTGCTCAACGAGATCGCGGGCCTGGAGCAGGCTATTTACACCAAAACAGGAGAGGCTTTCATCAATAACCTGCAGAACTCGCTGTTCCCTCTTCTTGGCGTTGATGGAACAGAATTTCTCCGATCCATGACCACGTCAACCGAGAAGAAGTTGTTTGGCAATTACCTACATAACCTTGTTAAGAGCCGGCGATGACGAGGACGGAAAGCCCAGGGAAAGGCTGGCAACCGGACATATGCAACACATCCGCAAACCAATACCACATGATACAAACCCCGCGCTCAGCTTCGGGCACTTTCTGTCTCATTCGCGCAGGTTAAAGATTCACACGACGAACTTTTTCTCACCTTTTGACGTTTTATTTGGTGGAACCTTTATAGAACTCGTCTGTTGGTGGAGAACGACAGCCGAACAAGGAAAATCCTAGAAGAAATCCACGCGATGCCCGGCCATCTCCTCTATGAGGGACGGAGCCTAGCAGAGGAGTGAAAGATTGGGAAACCATTGTGAGAGCGGTATGTTGAGGGCTGATTTACTCACTGCTACGGCAAGACCAACTTGTCTTTGCCAGATCATAGCGCGTTGCCCTTGTTTGTAGACCATGCGCTTCGAATTTACATCTTTTTGATTAGGAAGCCACCCTGATTAAGGCTCACGGCCGTGTCACGGCCGATATCCGTTCCGCCTTCGAGCGACCGTCGTATGCTCCAACATCACGGCTAGGCTTGAACATGGTTTGGTAATGCCGGACATGGCAAGCTATTGCTGAACTTAGACAGGCAGCTGGCTCATATACTCCCCAGACTGGTTGGAACGCGGAAAAGCTTGACGGAGATTCCAATCAGTGCCGTCGAACTGCCGGGTTTTTCTTGCATGTTGGCGCCGTGAAGGTGTTGCGCGAGTTCCGTGGCTCATCAGAGTTAGCGGGAGTGGCGGTAGCTTGATACTCTTTAGAGAAGGCTGTAGGCGCCACACGATGACCACTCAGGAGAAAGATGGCACGAGGGCCGAAACCCAGATCAAAGTGGCTGGCTCGACCCTCTCCCCTTTGAAGCATACAGCGAACGAGGCGCCGAGGCAGTATACGCTACCCCCGTCTCCCCCTTTCTCCGGACCCTTTCCTCGTCGCCTATAGAAAGGAAGGCAGAGGACGGCGGTTGTTCAGATGCCCTTCTCGCACACAACCACCTCCCACCTCCACACACCACCAAGTCTCCTCCTGATGACTTGCTTTGCGTTGGATGGAAATCCAGTATAGTCGGGCCGCGCCCTTTGCTTTCCTGGCTTGTTTCGCTTGCGTTTTTGTCTAATCGTCTTTTTTTTTTTCGCCTTTTGACATCCTATTCTTTTTCCCACTTTTGCTCTCACCGGAGGAGGTGGGGGGGCATCCCCTCCCAGAGCCCACACTGCTCGCCCAAGCCGCCGAGATGTGCGTCTACGGCGAGCTTGTGGAAGCCACCGGAGCGCCCCGCGAGCAGCCGGCACCGGCGAGGATGGCGGCGGTAGAGACGCCCGATTGCAGCAGAGCCGCCGAGCCGGGCCCCGCCCCATGGGTTCGGAGCCCGGAGCCGGCTCCGGCCCGGGCAGTCACCGACTTCGGGTACCGCTTCATCCCCACCACCACCGCCACCACCGTACCGGACTGGCCCGTGTCCTGGCGCCAACCCCACCCCGCCCGCCGCCCGCCGCCGGGCCCCCACCGCCACCACCACCTCCTCCCCGCCCGCCCGCCCAACGGCGCGCCTCGGTGCGTCGACTGCCCGGACTGCCGCGCCCTCTCCGGCGGGCGCGAGATACCCCCCCAGCCCCCGCACCCCTCCGAGACGTGGCCCTCGGCGGCTGCCGTGGACAACAACAACAACAGCGAAGGCTACGGCAGCGCCACCCCGGGTTCTGGTCGTTGCCGTCGTCGGAGCAGGAGCAGCAGCAGCAGCGGCGGCGACGACAACGCGTGCCTGTGGCACCGCCACTACGCGCAGCACGGCGCGCGGCTGGGCATCGGCGCGCTGTTCCGGCTGGCCGAGGACTACCACGTCGGCGGCGGCGGCGGCGGCGGCGGCGGCGGCGAGGAGGCGCATGAGCAGGGGCAGCAGGGCTACGGCCGGGCTGTGGCGAGGGTGCGCGAGCTGGCGGCCGTCATCGCGACGCGCCGCGGCGACGGGTACTACGGGCTGCTCGCGTCGTCGGCGCGCGACTGCTGCGGCGGCGGCGGCTTGCGGTACGACGACGACGAGGAGGAAGAGGGCAGGGATGGTAGAGAGCCGGCGCGGCCCGACAGCCTTGATGGGCAGCCGCAGCCGCAGCCGCGGATGGACCATACGAACGGCCACCGCCGCCGCGGCGACCGCGGCGGCCATGGCGACAGCTTCAGCAGCAGCAGCAGCAGCTGGGCCACGATCGACGGGATGGAGCCCGCCCTTACCCTGGAGGAGAGGGGGGAGGTGGTGGAGATGCCCGGCCCCCTGGCGTCGCGCGCGTCCGTCTTTGGCGCCATCGGGGACTCGAGGCCGTCGGCTACGGCGGCGGCGGCCGAGCAGCCGCGGTACACGTGGCTCCAAAAGGGCAAGTGGCGCGAGAAGGGCGATTGGAAGGAGGCGGAGGACAGCAGCTCCTTGGTGAAGATGCCGACAAGAACCCAGGCGATCCTTGCGTGGATGATGGATGCTGACTTTACGCAAGTTGAGCATCCTCTTATTTGATAGTGTTTCTGTTTTCTGTTTTTGTCTCTTTCTTTACTCGTGTTTATTTTCCAATTTGGATTTCCTTTTTTCCCACCCAGCCGATATTACGAGCCGCCCTCCTCCCACATCTACATGTTTTTAAACGGTCCGGGATAAGGAAATGGGTAAAGGGAACGATGTATTTACTTCCGGCACCTCGGTCACTTGCAAAACTCGAGAAACAGTCATATACTCTTGGACCGGTGTTTAATGGTTCCTGCTTGTAGTAGCCTGTAGCAGTTAACCGAAGTTTGTAATGCAATATATATATATATATATATGTACCATATATCAACATCATGTAAAGAACACGGCTAATTCCTGGGCTTCAGAAATCGAAATCACGTTTGCATGTTTAGCGATCGAAATCAGATTATCCATTTGTATTCTGAGCCGGACATCAATCACCAGCCACCAGATGTATCCAACCAGAAGCCGATCTGCACAGAATACGCCGCCGTCTCTAGAAAGTCGGGTAGATCTACCGAGAGGGGCAAAATGACCTGGTTTCTGACTTCTAGTCGACAAGAATCTTGGCCTCAAGCTTGGAATAGCTGGACAGGAAGGCATCAAATAGGCGGATCGAATGCTCGACGTCATAGGTACCTCCAGTCTCACGTATGCTATGCATGCTCAGCTGAGGGTTCCCCAAGTCGAGGGTGCGGATGCCCGTCTTGGCTGAGAGCATGGGGCCGATGGTGCTGCCACAGGGTGAGTCGTTGCGGACAACAAAAAGTTGCAGGGGCACTCCAGCAACCTTTGCCGCCTCCTGTAGCAGCACGATGCCAGGCGAGTTTGTGGCGTAGCGCTGGTTGGCGTTGACCTTGATGACGGTGCCCTTATTCATCTCGGGTGCGTGGCTGCTTTCGTACTTTGCAGCATAGTTGGGGTGGACCGAGTGCGCCATGTCGGCCGAGATGAGGAACGAGGTGGCCAGCGACTGCTCAAAAGCGGTCGAGGCCTCGCCGCTCTCGCTGCCGTCGATGTTGTGGTACGAGTTGTCCTCGCTGGGCGTATCGTCGGCGACGAAGCGAGACGGCGGCACAGCGCAGAGGCGGCGGATGACCGTGGGCAGCAGGTTGGAGTTTGCGCCCTGGCTCGAGGTAGACCCGATCTCCTCGTGGTCGAAGCACGAGATCAGCCGGATGGCCGTCTCGGCCTCGAGGCTGGTTGGCGCGCTGACCGAGTCGATGAGGCCGCGGACGGCGCAGAAGGTCATGTTGAGGTTGTCGAGGCGGGCTGAGAAGATGAACTCGTCATTGAGACCGCCCAGGCACGCCTTTTGCGTGTCGAACAGCACCAGCTCAAAGTCGACCACGTCGGCGGGAGCCACGCCCACGTGCTTGGCGACAATCTCGATGATGTAGGGGTGGTGCCTCTCCGCCATCTGCTTGAGGGGCTGGTAGTCGGCGCCCTCGGCATCGGCGTCGGGGGCAGGGGCTGTCTCGTCCGTGCCGGCACCGGTCCTGTTCAGCTCGGCGGCGACCAGGCCGGCGATGGGGAAGAGCTGGGTCTCCTTGTTGGGGCTGAACTCGGTGGAGCGGTCCAGATGGATGGCCAGGGTGGGGATGCGGAGGATGGGGCGATCAACCTTGACGAGACGCTGGGCAAAGTTGCCGTCGGCGTCCTTGACCAGGGCGCGGCCGGCGACGCCGAGGTCGCGGTCGAACCACGAGTGCCAGATGCCGCCGCCGTAGCACTCGACACCGACCTGCAGGAACCCGACGTTGGTCTTCTTGCTGACGGGCTTAAGGCGCAGGCAGGGCGAGTCCGTGTGGGCGCCGACCATGGCGAAGGGGTTGCCGGGCCGCCACTTGGCGCCGACGGCAAAGGCCACAATGGACGAGCCGTTGCGGGTCAGGTAGTATTTGCCGCCCGGCTTGAGGGACGAGCCCCAGCTGTCACGCTCCTTGATCAGCTGGAAGCCGGCAGTCTCGAGCAGCGAGGCCGATGTGGCGACGGCATGGTAGGCTTGCAGCAGCCGTCAGCTCCTGTGCACGCCACGGCAGGGCACGGCAGGGCACGGGTCGGGACTCACGTGTGGGCGAGGCGTTGACAAAGTCGAGGAAGTCGTAGGCAGACTTGGGTGGCGCCATGTTGGGCGGCGGCAGGCTCGAGAAACGGGCCAACTGTCGGGGCAGCGAGGGGGCAGTGGTGGCTGCTGTGCGCAGGCGTCCGAGCGAGATGTTTATAGTAGTGCGGAGGAGACTGGGCGCCTCGGTGAACATTTGATGGAGAGACGGTTCAAGCCAGGCAGGCCGTGCAAGTTGAGCCGCACTTCCCAACGGCAGCTCAAGTACCAGCCCAACCGAGGCGAAAGTCACAGGCTCTACTCAGTGCCACCCGACTGGGCTGCACACTCTAGTGCGGGGCAACTGCCCAGTGGCAGCACCGACGCGGCCCCACTAACATCAACGAGGCGGCACCGCCTTTGTCTCTCGAGTTCGAAATAGCGACGCCACAGGCCTAGGAAGGAACCAACCTAGGCAATCCATGTCTAGAACAGGTACAGACTACAGACCCCTGTGGTCGGGGCCACAAAGTGAAAGAGGGGCTTGAATACCCAGCAAAACTTAAATACCCAAAATCGGAAACAAATCACTACCATCAGTCAGATTCATCAGCCAACGCCAGAGCGCAAAGTATCACAACTCTCAAATCGGCAAGTCCGGTCCATGCCCTTCTCTTGGCTTCCTTTGACCGGTGTCGGGTATTTTGCCGCTTTCAGACCCAAGACATGCAGCGCGGGAATCTGCCAGTTCCGTGTAACATACCGAGCCGTCTTTTCCCTCCAAACGGCCATCCATCCATCTTGCCCAGGACAGGCACCAGGCCACCGATGCCCGCCCGCCCCTTGGGGATTTCTTCGCACGGTTGGCCAAGACGTTAGAACGGAACTCGTCGGCCATGGGCATGCAGTCAGCGTTGATGCTTGCTTGCAAAGAGTGACTCCCCC